AGAGCTCTTATTTACATCTCAGCAATTTATTCGTTCAATTGAAGAAAAATATAGTGTTAGTTTGCGTGATGTAAAACGAACAATTAAATTAGTCATATTCTTCAGTAAAAGTCTTCAAAGTCGTCCAAAACTCAATAAATCCCCCTACCCACCTCATCCGGATAATTCTGGCCGTATCAATTTTTTAGTTCGTTGTTATATTTTAGCAATTAGTCTTTGTTATCAGTCTAGAATATATGAACAAGAATTACGAACTGAATATCGCAAAGAAATGATTAAAGTTTTCCAAAGACAGAAAATAAACATTAAAGATGGTGATTTTATTAAAATAATCCGAGATGAGCAAGAAGATTGGGTTAAAAGAATGCAATTGCCTCCAAATACTGCGATGAATGAAGCATTATTAGAAAATGTTTTAGTGATGATTGTCTGTATTCTTACCAAGATTCCTGTGTTTATTATCGGTGCTCCAGGGTAAAGATTATTATTTTTTTTGCATTATCAACTTAGTTGTTCTAACTAAACTTTATACATAACCACTAACTTTATGCATTAGATCATCAAAATCCTTAGCGATTAAACTTGTAGGTCAAAACCTACGTGGATCTGATTCAAATGATAGATATTTTCGAAAACTTCCTCAGGTTTAAATCACTGTACTTTTTTATTTTTGTAGTCACCGATAATATTTGAATTAAGATTTATATATTTTAATTTTAAATGCAGGTATACCTTATTTCTTATCAAGGATCGTCGTCTTCCACTTCGGACGGTATTATTAAAGTTTTTGACAAAGCTATTAAATACCAAGAAACCAGTTCAAAAGAATTTTCAGTTATCAGTGTTGTTGTTCTTGATGAAGGTAAGATTATTAATTTTATTCTTTTTATTTAATTTGGCGTTTAATGTTTAATAATTTGTTGCTATGTAGTTGGATTGGCTGAAACTAGTCCACATAATCCACTTAAAGTACTTCATGCATTACTTGAACCAAGCTATCCGTCTGATGGGCCAGCAGTTTCCGTCGTTGGTATCAGTAATTGGAGATTAGATAATAGTAAAAGCAGCAGAGCCTTATTAGTTCAAAGGTTAGCTTATTTTACACTTTTCTTATCTGCTGTTAGTTGTTTTTGATATTATTATGTAATTTATGGTTTAATATATCCAATTAATATGACTCAAAATGTTAGACCTAAATTTGGTGTCGAGGATCTTATCGATACGGCGGTTCGTTTACTTGATTCTAAATTACATAACTCCATAACCCGTGCCTCACTTCGGCCACTTGCGGATGCCTATTCAGAGTACGAAGGATGTGGACAATCACATTCTAACTTCCACGGTCTTCGAGATTATTATGGATTAGTAAAAAGTTTATCGAAGTCTGATCTAACCCCAGAAAACGTTCAAATGGCATTAGAAAGAAATTTTGGTGGCACTGATCGAAATGAAAATCCATGTGAAGCATATTTCGATACTGTGTTAAAAACATTTAATAATTATCAGAATTGGACATATGATCCAATTCCAATTTTAACTTTGATTAAAGCTAATTTGGATGATGAGAGCGCCTTTATAAAG